CGCGATAAAATCCACTAAAACTAGTTTTAATTAAATATCTACTGCTGATTGTTAATAACTAGGCTAACAAATGATTGTGGTGAAGCTGGCATTCAAACAACGTAGATTGGTGAACTGCTCTTCCACATATTGCTATTTTATGACTACGTCCGGCCAATTGCTGCGCAACTGACTTCGACATAAAATTAAAAATTTTGTCTTGCCGACTTCAATATAAGTTATTAAGAATAACTCAAAAACTATTGGTCTGGCCTTGATCAATGGGACTGGGGATTCATATGAGACCACACGAGAAGAAACAGCTTTCAAATAAAAAAAGAATCATCGAAATCGGTTCACCCAGTAAAGAGTTATGAGGTAACACACATAAAAAAACATAGTCGAATTGAATACCGTCTCCTTTTTGGAAGTCGGCAGAAAATTAGCATCATCCATCATATTCTCCGTAACTTTGCCAAACAGACTTTCACTTTCATCGAAGTGAGATAACTTTTTGAAAGGCAAAAATAAAAATCACAAAAAAGAAGATAGAGCTTATCGATTCTCGTGCAGCAGATCTATAGCGGGCATACTGTCTATAAAATGGCAAGAATGTATAGACAGTTTAGGCAAATATTTTGATTAATCAAAGTTTTTTCGTAAATAAAATATTTAAAAAAAAAACAGTAATTTCAAAAGTGAAAACCTAACAAGTTGTACAAGTAAACGAAATTGTAAAACGGATTAAAAAAGATTTTCTGACAGGTCCTTCGGTGAAAATTTTTTTGCAAACCGATGTAGATTTTGACGTTTAAAATAGCTTCAAAGAAGGCTTAGTTGAATAAAAATTAAATTTGCGGGTTCGAATCCCGCACGGAACAAGTATTTGTATGGCCTACAAATAATTGTTCCGGGTCTGGATGTTTGTCCTTGTGCAATATATGTTTGTAAACTGCCTTCATGATACAGGAGCAAATCGTAGTGTGGGGGTAACGTTTTTTTTTTTAATTAATAATAATAATAATAAATTGTCCTTGAGAAATTTGTGTGTAAACTACCCTCACTATACACGATAAAATCCTAGTGTGGAGTTAACGTGTTTAAAAAGAAAGAAAAATAACTTCCATGATCATAATATTTACATTAGTAATATAATAATCATAATATCATCATTGACATATTTACATTATAAAATATTTATAACAACCTAATTATTTACACTTGAATTTTTTTAAACCTACCATTTTTGTAAGTTTCGTTTTGTTTTGGCTTGGTGTTTTCAATCAGTGATTGTTTAACATTCTCATCACTAACGTTAAAGCAAAATAAAATTATGTACCTAGTTACTATTTTGCTTTATAAATCTCGTCTAGCCGCAACTTGTGCTATTGACATATTTACGACGACGATAACATCGACCGAGTTATGGACAGAATATTGTAAACACATGCATCAGCATTCTTATGCCCTTCATTATTATTGCTAAGTTTTAAAACCTTTTTTGAATCACGTTCTCTTTTTTGCCTTTAAACAGTTAAGAGTTATGACATTAAGTAACAGATAATGTAATTTAAAAAAAAACATGTGTGCAGTTTACACGCGGTAGAAGCAAAATGTTTAGAAAACTAACCTTCAAGAAAATGAGACGAATTCAGGGTATCAATAGTAGGATAATTGTAGGGTTTATGTTCAAAGTTTAAGTTTAAGTTTCAAATCACAACGATTCTAAAGAAATTAACTAACAGTTTATATACGTCCCACATTTGGGCACTGATTTCCTTTTATTTCTGAGAGGGTAGTGGAACAAGACTTCACACGTTATTTTTTTTTCTAATAGCTTAGACATGGAGGTTTTGTCACTATTATCATTATTTAGTTGGTAAACAAGCACAGAAAATTGCAATTAACGATTTCTTTGGAAATAAACTCAATTGTAGCGGACGCACTTAGTGACGGCCGCCCTTTTATCCCCTGCACTACCACAGTTTGAGAATTAAAAACTTCATTCGTAGTGATACCACGATAAACTATTTAAGGTATAGATATCACCTCATCACCATTATCAATACATAAAGGCCTGCACAAATTCACCGCTAAACATAGGCTTCCCCCAAGGTATGCCACAAAGCACGGTCCTGAACCACCTGAGTAGTGTAGTTGTACCACTTCTAGACCACCTGAGTCAGACGCGGTTCAACGACGATCGTCGACACACGATCCTAAAAAAAAAAAAGGTTTTGGCATGCTCTGATCACGAATCTGCGGTCCATTTTTGTGTAGGATGCACGGTTCCGGAGATGTGAAGATCAATTAGCTAATATCTAATTGATATCCGGTAAGGCCTCCACCGTCATTAGCGTCCCATTGTTCCTATTTCTATTGTTCTATTGTTCATTAATCACCTTCATTGCAGCGTGTGCGTCGACTATATCAGTGCTATTGTATTATACTTCTTTGTTCCTAATTATACAACGCTAATCTGAATCATCAATAAAACACATTACATAATTTTGTTACAATTTTTATTTATAAAATACAAAATCTTATTACTTATTATCTATAAAATAGGAGCGAAACATCTCATCCACTAAAATATCGTTGTACGATGTGTTCCTTGTAAATATACTCGTAAAACTATGTATTGAACATCCCTAAAACTTATATAGCAAATACATTAAGCAATATTCGCCACAAACTGAAGTCCACTCATTCTGAATCCTATCAACATTCCAGTTCCATCTTTTACAATTCCTTTTTAAAAACTCTAGATGATATCGTAAAGGTGATCGTCCATACGAATCAAAATATTGACCGACGTCATTCGTATCGATATATAAAGCTACCCAATGTGACCCTGGTTTATCATCTGTATCCAAATTGCATATTATATACGTTGGTACGTGGGTATACATAGGCAGTCTATTAGCTGCATAAACATTATTTTCTAGACTGGGATGAATCTTTTTCAGATGTTGTTGTACATCTAGTGTATCCATGATATTACTGCTATTAGTAGATTATTACAGTACCAATCTACTCAATGAATAACATAGGAATGGTCAATTATAGTGATTTCTAAATATTAAATTGCATTTTTGTGTTATACAAATCGTACTTGAGTCATTGATCACCAAACAAAACACAATACGAAGAAATGTTGAGATAGGCAACGGAAATCTGAGATAAACTGGTTGACGCATAAAGTAATTATCAACTCATTACGGAAATACTTTAGATTAGAATTTTTACGTACTGGTGGTATATAAGACCAACAGACGCAGTCATCGAGTTAGTGTATGGTCGTTTGACTACAGTGGATCTATCAATAGTACATTTGTGTTACTTCAATGCACCAAAGGCTATGGATGTAAGTGTTTATTCTATTGACTAAATTACTTTTTTTCTGTTATTTTCATGCGTGTGTATTATTTTATTTAAATATTGTGTATGTATATGATTAAGCCGTGGTATCGGAGAGGGGGCAAACGAGCATGCGGCTCACCTGATGGTAAGTGACTACCGCCGCCCATGAACAACCGCAACACCAGGGGAATTGCAGATGCGTTGCCGGCCTTTTAAAAAGGAGTAGGCTCTTTTCTTGAAGGTCCCTAAGTCTCTCACTGCTCTAACTCAGATGGTTAGCGCTAGCTGTAAATTTCACAGTACGCGACCCGGGTTCGATCCCCGCCAGCACCAATTAAATTGTTAATCGCAATTTTAAGTGCTTATTACCACGTGTTTGGTGGTGAAGGAAAACATCGTGAGGAAACCTGCATGTCTGAGAAAATTTCGAAGGCATGTGAAGTTCGCCAACACACATTGAGGCAGCGCGGCGGACATTTCCTTGCCCTAAAACCCTCTCAGAAATGAGAGGAGGCCTATGTTCAGCAGTGGACTTTAATAGGCTGTAACTTTAACTTTTTTAACTTTTATGATTAAGTGTTAACAAATTGATATAAACATGATAACTGTGTTGTTGCAGAAATCATTGAGCTTCGATGAAAATACCTATAAACAGTATTACTACTCGCCACTCTCCCCTCAAGAAGAGAGTGATGACCTCGTCATTAATAATAACACATGCGATGGTGGAAAAAGAAAATCGCAATCGATTGATCATTTTTTTGAAGCTGAATCAAAAATAAAAAAGAGGAAGCTGTTATCATCAACCGTAGCACGAGCCGCTAGAGATGGTCTATCATACATTTCTACTAATTCTGACGACGGAGACCAAGCGACGCATCTCATCAAAATTGAAATGTACGATATGAAGAAGCTATCCAAGATTCCAACTACTGATCATTGGAAACATGCTTCCACGAGAATTAAATATTACGTAAATACTAATAAGGATAGCATCTACGACAACACAAACGCCCTCGTATACAATATAACAAAGACAATAGCAGAAAGTGAAAAAGTTAAAAAATACTTTTTTAACAATGACAGTCATTAGCTGATCATTAGTGAATGTGATTCTGTTTACTTCAATTACAGGAAGACAAGAGCGGAAGGAAGAGATGAGTGTGGCATACGTGTACAAAACACATCATTGAATAACAAAACTACAACACTGAGTGGAGAAGAAAACGAGAAGAGTATGCAGTACTCAAGAGCTGAATATCCGTTCTTCAGTTCAAAATCTAGCCGTTTGCTTAGTTTCGAAAACTGGCCTCTCGTTATGCGACAGAAACCTGAAGATCTTGCAGAAGCTGGTTTCTTTTATACTGGTCATGCAGACGGGACCAAGTGTTTCCATTGTGGTGGTGGTTTAAAAGATTGGGAAGATGATGATGATCCTTGGCAGCAGCATGTTCAGTGGTTTAGTCAGTGTGCTTATGTAAAATTTCAACTCGAACAGTGTTTTGTATTAGATTAAATAGAAGATTTATAAAGAAATAAAAAAAAAATATTGCATACAATTTGTTTTATTTAATTTTATAACGTTTCACATAGTTACATACACACAAAATGCATTACACATAACACATAAAATCTAACACACAACACATATTATAACCTTAACTACTATAGTCTACAGTAACATTTCTGTTTTTATCTATCTCAATAATATTATCAAACTCAGCATAAACTATACAGTTAATTGTTTGTATTAATGAGGATTCAAATCGTACTTCTGTTCTTACACTACCATGCTTTATGAGATTCCAATGAGTTGATGAGTTAGCTGATAAATCAGGAGTTAAGTCAAATGCTAATAGACAGTAACCTTTGCCATACTGTTCACAAGAGATTCCATTTCCTTCATTAAGAAAGTGAATACCAGTTCCCGAGAATAGAGTATGATATGCTGATGTAAATATGCTATTATTAAAAGATGGTTGCAAAGCTTTTGAAGGTATTTGTTGACCATCAATATACAAGCTGAAAGAATTAATACCATAGTTTTCAAAGTTAAATGGATTTTTAGTAAGGGAACCATTAAATGCAGAATTGTTCACAAATCCAATTATACATCTTTTCGGTACCTGTCCTAAAAATATATTATCAAGAGTTTTTCCTTGAACACCCGAAGGAATTGTTAAAACTTTTACTTCAGCTCGAGTAATAGGATATTTAGCAGTGGTAGAAGCTAAAACTTTTTGATGTGCGAGTAATACACTTGGATTAATTCGTGCTCGTCGAACAATAAGAGTTGCGTCCGTAATGCAAACTTTAAACTTTACATCGTTTGACCCAACAATTAAATTAAAACTCTCTCTTGATCGAACCAATTTAACACTCATTTCAACACCATTAATTAAAAATTTATCTTGGTTAAAAATGTCACCGTGAAGATGACCAATCATTTCTATTTCCTTACTTTCACTAATCAATTCCTGTCTTTTAACAAATCCTATGTTTTTACCATCTGTAGAATCCATTTTTCCTGCTGTATCCTCATACCAAAGACTACAAGTAAGATGAGATTGTTTAGCAGCAGGGGCATAGTTTAAAAGGGTGTCCATGTATGCTCGATATGCATAGGTATTATTAGGTGGTGATACAAGTTTTTGGTTTAAATAAACATCAAGTTGACTAAAAAGTGAATGCAGCCAATTATTTACAGGTGCTACTATTGTAGTAGATACCAAGTTAGTTGAATCTTGATTTAATACTTTTGCCTTTATGTGGAGTAATGTATGAGACAAATCTATGTAGTCATCGCCGGTCCCAGGAACTTGAAACTCGATAGGTCCATCATCACCAAGAGATGAAATTGGTTTATAATGAATCCACAATCCATTTTCAATGCTAGTTTGTGTAGACGGTAGTGCAAACAAATCCAATTCTGACTTAACGCACTCGCAAGAATGATTATGAAGGAAAGACATATTTAGTTTGAAAATATATCTTTGATATTTTTTGGTTTTAGACAAAGTTTTTTCGCAGCTTTCACTTTAGCAGTTAATGGTGGAATGAACGATGTTAATCGTTTTCTTTTAGTTTTATACCCAGATCCAGTCATGTTAAATTGATCAATTTTCTCATCAGCCTTTCGTTTTAAATTCGTACTAACTTGCTTTAGACGATCTTTTATTGAGGCTTCCATAGGACGGGCTTGAACCATATCCGATAAAAGTCCTACTCCAGCGCTTAATGCCTCCTTACCAATCACTCGAGCACCACTTGAAAGTAAAGGTAAAACTGATCTGAATAACCCCCCTAAGAAGCTCCCAATACCATGACCGCGTTGATATGGTGAACCCTTATAAATTACTCCAACTCCTGATCCAGCTTGATGTGTATAATAATTTTCATATGGACATTTATGATGATCACGAAGAGAATTCATTATTATAATTTTCGGAAATGTAGTTTAATACACACGGTTCCAAACTGGAATGGTATTTTTTGTCCTGTACTCGATCTTATAACTATTTCCAGCGTATCGAACTCTCTTCGCATAACAGGTAAGTAGTGAGGTTGAGAGAAAACGTGCATTTTATTTGCACCATAAATGTATTTTGTAGGATCTAATGAAATGACTCTTAATAAAGGAGTCATAACATCACCCACAATCTGAGGATCGATAATGTCGCAATATAGAAATAGTTGAGATGGTAACCCTAAGTGTAAATTAGCAGGACACTTTCCAAAATTTCTCTCTAGGAGATTTTTATTTGGTTCATAACCTAGCTGTAAACTTAATTTGGGTGATAATGTTACGGATGTTATATTTTTATCCAATACCGAAATAGACACAAATTTTGTTATTTCATCATAGCGAAATTTCAAGTTCTCTCCGATACCATTTAACACTCTTAAAATATGCTCAACGTTATCATAGTTGGTAGCTGGAATATGTTTTTTGTAGTACACTGTGGATGGTTTATCTTCATTAGGCATTAACATAGATTTTGTAATGTATATAACATTTTCATGGTCTTGAACAGTAAACATGGTACATGGATATTGAAACTCGACAACTCCAACCGACCATACACCTTCTAATTTTATAGCTTTTGGTAATTTCGTTGAAAAATTTGTGGTCTTGTTATCAGGAAAGTATTCCATTGAACTATTGCTGAGCAAAGTTAAATAGAAACTTTCTTTATTCATATTTCTTTTAAACTAGAAGCTAAAATCCAACTGTTAAATTTATCTGGATAACCTTTCCACTTCACTAATACTTCTTTTCTGTTACCTGAATAACGAGTGTCAATTATTTTATCTATTTTATGTTGTGAGGTGGGGTTGTAAGTGATTTTCTGTAATTCTCTTTCATAAAAAGTACCAATTATTGGTTCATTTTGTAAATCTGTTATTGTATAAACAACCCATGGAGATCTATCAATTATTGAAGATATAATAAATATTTCATCACTCCAATTTGATTCATATCCTTTTTGGAATACATGTTTATATTTAGTTATTCGAACATAATCACCCACATTGAAATTTGGTTTAGGATTTTCTAAAGAAAGTTTTTTTGTCCGTCTATCATAAAGATTAGTCCAAACTGTCATAATATTGTTGGAATTTACATCACATGGGCACATCTTAATACTAGAGTGAAAGCTGTGATTATAAGAGTATATTAAATCTTGTAAAACATCTATATATCTATAAGTATTATTATGAGTGAAATAACGCCACATTTTCATTTTTAGTGTTCTTTGAAATCGTTCAACAATACTGGCCTTAATGTCAGGATTGTTAGTGGTATAGTAATTAATCTTTTTGGATTTAAAGTATTTTTGTACATCTTTTGAAACAAATTCTGTACCTTTATCGGATTGTATGTGAGTAGGTGTTAAATTACTTTCAGTAAATATACTTTCAAAACATTCTTTAGTTGTTTCTGAGTTTTTCTTTTTCATTGGTCTTGCAAAAGCATATTTACTAAATACATCAATAACACAAAGTATATACTTGAAACCATCATTATATTGAGAATAAGTTCGCATATCACTTAAATCAGCTTGCCACAGTTCATTAATATTTGATAGAATGTACCTATTACGCGGGAATTTTTTTCGAATGGGTTTATGTAATGTGTATGTTTCTTGTGATTTTAACCATTCCTTTACTTGCTTTTTATTCATTTTACCTTTCATGGCTTTTGATAATTTATCAATACTACCAAAACCAGCGGGATTAGATGGATCATAATAAATCCTGTTAATTTCTTCTAGTACGGGGTCCATTTTTCCCACTCAAGTCCTTTACGTATTTTAGTTGTAGACTTTTTATCTCTACTGCCCGGTGTAGAAAACTCTTGAACTTCAATCTCAGAGGGTTTGTTCAGATCTTTTGCTTGAAGTTGGTTAATAAACTCACATCTCCTTGGATTTCCAATATAAGTAAGTGGTACTTTAATATCTTTTAATGCTTCAGCAAATCTAACCCACCCTACCGGATCACTTCTTTTTAGGGGTCTTAGTGAATCATTTATTAAATCAACAATATTACTTCCAGGAATTTTTTCACTATCAATTATGACTGTACCTTCATTATCCCAATGTATTTTACTTTTACTTGTTTCAACTAAGTTTAATAATAACTGCCCTTTTTTATGATAAGTTTTTGGTATTAAACTGAGTATTTGAGCTGGTGTGTAAAGTGGATTTTCATCATTTTCTTTACTTTTAATGGATCGATTCTCCTCCAGCAAAGATTCAATATCAACTGAAGTTTTTAGATCTCTATCTTTATTTTTAAAACCAATTTTTGACTCATTTGAATCTTCATTAGATGTATCAGAATAAATTGGTAATTTGAATGGTTGACGATCCTCTTCGGTAAAATGAAGGTATCTTTGCAGTGTTTGTAAATATAATATCCATTTCTTTCGGTCTTCCGTCTTACTATTCATAATATTTTGCATTTCAATATCTAATCGAGATAAATTACTATTAACCTTATTTTCTTGTTTTAATTTTTCAATCAATCCAGGTTCGATAAGTATCATTTTCTTTGCATTTTCCATGTTAACTGGCTAGTCCACTCACTAATACACTCAATATTGCACCTAATATTGTTGGTAAGAAAGCCCCTCCTTTTTGTATAATTATATTTTTTCTTAGTTTATGTTTACACTTACGTACTAGTTTACGGAGTATGTTTTTATGTTTATTCAATTTTTGTTTATCCTGATCTTTAAGAGGTACTTTTCCTTGTAAAACGTTATGAATACACTCACAAATACAGTTAATTTCTTCTTCATCACACGTTTTAAGTAATGCTCTTTAATATTTTGGTTTAAGCGTATGCAAAGCGGTTAGCAAATGTTTATACGTTGTGAGTCGACGATGCATCATTTAGCAATGATTTCAATTGTTTGATTCTTGGTGTATTTAAACTCTTTTGTGGGGGCGTAGACTGTACAGAAACCATTAAATGGAAAGACATTTGTCTTGATACGACAAAAATCATTGGTATTCTGTTTTAAATCTACCATTAAATATCCATGCGCCTCTAGAGTTGCATCCCTGTAGGCATCTTCAATGAATTTTGGGTTATCTGGTGATACTTGCCTTGCTAAATATCTTATTTGAGTTTTATCTCGAGGGTTTTTAAAATATATTATATAACTTGAGTTTAAAGATATGTCTCTTTGTCCTTTACCCTGATGAAATAAATTTTGTGTTAGATAAAATACACTAAGATTCCTGTGATGACTACCTTTTGTAAATATATCCACAATTCTTCCATCGGACTCTCTCATTAGATCATCAATAATAACAAGATGTGGGTTTTCACCATCAAACATATTAAGATTTGGAATTCCTTGATGATAGTTAACATTTGGTAAATTATATAATGATTGCATTTCATCAAAGCACCATGTGATCTGATTAAAATCACAATTACATATTTCTGTAACTGATTTTATGAAATTTGTTACAAAATTTGACTTCCCACACCCACTTGGTCCTGCCACAATAGCAGTGAACGGATGGATAAAGTGAAACATAACACACGTCTAAAGTTCAAAGGGGTGAAATAAAAAATGAAAGTGTTGGTGTAAACAATTAATATATATTCCAAAAATTATATAAAACAGAATTATCTGTATACTATTTCTAACACAATTAGTACAGCATAATTTTACAATTAACTCAACCTCAAATAAATAGAAACAACAATTAGTACATCATAATTTTACAATGAACTCAACCTCAAATAAATAGAAACAACAATTAACTTAAATTATTTACAATAAAACAATGATTAAATATGTAATAAACTACGTCATATTATAGTATTATCATAATTTTACAATCAATATAAATTTTTCTTAAACGCAGACATAAAAGTAAAAACTATCAACACTTAACGCAGTTTATAATGACCCCAAGCTAATGTTTCAATATTATTATCTAAAATATGTCTCTTTGTGTCATTATATGATAAACCTATCTTATTTAATTTTTGTGTGAAAATTGTGTGTTTAATTGATTTAAATCTAAGCATACTATAATATTGCACTTTTTTATTAAATAGAGAAGACTTATAACTATTCATTGTCATCTTTTTAGTGATACATTTATTTACCCCTTTTGCCTTGGCTATAGTCTTATTCTCTAAGTTAAAAGCGTACATTTTGGATCGTAAACCCACAAATTCTTTCATGATTTTACCATTATTTTCATCTTTAAAAAAACCTAATTTCTTTTTATTTAATTTTGGATATTCAAAAATATTATTTGTATCATAATCTGAGGTATCAAAGTATGATGAAAGGTCAGGTTTTATATCAGTGTAAAAATCATTTGTAAATATATGATATATTAAACTATCCGTATCTGTATACAATAATTTGATTTTACTAAACTTTTTAATCATATAGTTATAATGAAAATCATACATTAATGTTTTTGAAATATCT